CGTAAGGATTTTATACAAAAAAAAAAAAAAAAAAAGGAAAAAAAGAGCGCGTAATGAAAAGTGCATAATTTTTTTAACATCATCATTTTTAATTGTTTTTCGTTTAGTTGTAATTAATTACTAATAATATTTAATTGTAAATATTTAAATATTTAATAAGTAAAATGTAAAATTGTTTATCAATATAAATTTTGGCGGTTTATATGCACAGTCTTGTTGAATTGAGTTTATTGTTATTTTTTATATATACATTATTTTCTATTATTATTTAATAAATCGAAATAATAGTTCATAATAAACAATTTCAACAGTATTTCAACTTCACTCAGGTTTATAACTATATTGATTCTATTATGCTTCATATTAAAATTTTTATTTTTTTTTTAGTTTTATTTGCTTTTATTAAAAAAAAAAAAAAAAAAAAAAACATTATAGCAAAGCAATTAAGTAATATTGTTATTATGAGGTCGGAATTTATATTTTTATAAACAATAAGAGTTGTTGGCACTGCAACATAATAAATTACCAGGTATAAATAGTGGCCGAAAATAAAAAAAACTCGTCATCTGGCCCGTTGCTTTTATAGTCCGTCCATTCTTACACATTGACATTATTTTTTAGTTCTTTACAATATTTGTTAATTTTTCAAATTTTTCATTTCAATAATTTAATATAATTGCCTTATCAAAACAACACGAAACTGTTGAACGAAGATAAAAAGTGTTTAATCAATCAGTAATTTTGTGTGTATGAATACACGTAAAACTATTTCAATTCTCAATGAATAAATCACATTAACTATCATATAAATCGTCTGTAATGATTAATGATGTTCAAATTACTATAAAAAGTATATAGGTCAAGGCCACCAAAATTATGTAATAATATCAAGTAATAACGATTGACGGCCAATAACACTAAATATAATATGTTAACTATAGATCAAATATATTTATTTTACTTTAAAAATGTAATCAAGAATAAACGCCATTGCTTCCATAAACACTATATTTGAATGTATTGCATTAATATAATCAAAATATATATTACAATTAGCTACCATCATCAATTTATGTCGGACAAACACTTTATGAGGCCCAATGCAATTTTTTTTTTATTTTTTAATGCGTGTCGTATATTTTTACGGACATATACGATGTATACCTAAAATCGGATATATGAGAATGAAGTCTCTTAAATCTATAATTATAGTAACACGAATGTCATCCTTTTCAATACAAATACTATATATTCTTAAGTTATCATTAAAATGTTTAGTTTTTATTTGAATATAATTAATGACTCATACAATTTTAGAAACAAAAAAAATTAGCATTATCGCATAGTTTTCTCAACACCATAAAATCCAGGTGGTTAAATTTAATATAATAATATATACTTATAAACTTAATTTATATATAATTACGTTAAAAAAATGCAATTTTTACTGTCGTACATAATTCCATAAGTATATACAGACACTTAAAATTGTAGACAATTAAGATGGTTGTTTTTATGTATTTATCAATTTAAGTTATTTTAATACACTTATTTGATAAAGCCGCCCATGTAACTCTCAAGAAGTTAAAATGGATACACAAATATTAGTTGAAAATGTCGAGGATTATTATAGGTTTATAATTATATTATACATTATATTATTGTAACACTACTCATAATGGATTCATATAAGCATTCATTAATAAGTATTTTTAATCTGATATCATTAGGGTTTACGAGTGTATTAGTCATTCCACGATTCAAAAAAATGTGAAATCTAAAAAAATAGATAAACATAAGATACTTTTACAGGTGTTACGAAGTAATAAAAATAGTAGTATTATTTCCTCGGATTTTTTATAATAGATATATACGAAATATAATACAGTCGTTATAATATTAACTATTACATTTGAACAAATAATTATCAATTAGCTTTTTATCAATTGACACTTAATTTATTATATTATTCATAAATATTACCATTGGAAATTAACGAAGTCACAAGTATAAATTTGTACCAAAAGCTATAGAACTTTGAAAGTTTGAAAGGGTTAATAATTGTAATGTTAGCTATACTTTTATAGAATAAAAATCATAAGTTAATAATTTTATATTTTTTTTCGTCAGTTCTATAACTTTGTGCTATTAAAAATCTATTATGACAAACAATTTGTAGAACGAAACTTATTATAACGAAAATACATAAATGTCCGTTCGGATATATGTACTAACATTTTAATAAGTTATATGAATAATGAGTGGACACAAACAATCACCGAAATTGAAAAAGTTATATTTTTTTACATTTATTTTACAATTTTGTTTCGTGTTCCCAATTAGTAAGTATATTTTTGATCGTTTTCGAAGCATTACATTCGTTTATTTAAGAGGAAATAATTAGTTCATCCATTATTGATAGATTTTGTTTCGGTGAATTCCATTAACAATTATATTGTATACATATTATGGCCTACCTCTACCTCGTACATATAGACTATAGTCACCGGTTGCATGTGAACTGCACGTGTGAAATTCATGCGTGTGTGGTAAAGCGAGATTAGATGAATAATTAATAGTAAGGACAGAGGTGGCAGCAAGGCAAGATCTGACAATAGGCCCAAGGCCACGGTCGAACCACAAAGTATATTTTAATTTTTTTTTTTATCAAACATTTTCCTTTCACACTCATTTACTACACGTGAACAAATATATTATATATGATAAAATAATAAAAAATTTAATTGAAACTAAAAACTAGTAAATATTAATACTTGTAAATTAATATACATAAATAAATAAATACTTAACCTGGAGTATTATTTATTTATTTCTATTTATATTATACAAAAGAGACATAAGTCTAACACAAATCAGTATTTCTTCTAACTCAACAGATTATAAAACACATATACATACCTATATACATAAATGGTAAGATAACTGCTGATATTCTTTTCCATTTTGAAGGGTGGAAAATGTTTTATATTTGGCCCTCCGGGTTAATGTTAATACCTAATATTAATTATGCACAGTTAAGTATTAAAAAAAATTGTACAGTTGAAATAATAATTATTAATATATTATCAAAGGAAATATATGATTTTAATTACGAAACTATTATTGTACTAAAAAGTTAAACTTTTTTTAAAGTTGTTGTGCTGTTGGAAATGTTAACGCACTCAATGCAAAAAACTGTCCGTTTCACATATGGATTTTTTTCAGATTGATCTCTTTGAAAACTTGATACCCTTCAAACGTTGACATAATGATGTTTGACGATGTACCGTGTACGGTCGCTAAACAGAAATGGTTACCATGACCGACCAGAATTACCTCTATAACTTTTAAGCTCATTAAAATCGATTAATTTTATTATTTGACTGTTGTGTAACGTATGCAATCGAATTTTCATCGTGTTCGTGCAAAAAATAAATAAAAATATAAAAAAATAATACAATATCGTATGAATAATTGACTAACTGGTTTCGTATATGCGGAAACGAGACAACCTAATCGTTTGATGTTCTATAATAATATTTATAGCAACACAAACAGTATCACTCAACGGCGAACAAGCAAAATTAACCCCTTACCAACTGTCTACCGAAAAATATAGAAAATAGAAAATGAACCATTTAAAAAAATATTGTCACTCGTCATAGCGCTCGTAATCACGAAGTACAAGCGCGTGATGTTAGTGCATAAATTATGTAAACCAATGTTCACTCAAACGCAATCAGGAAACGACAAATATAGAACAGATAATCGGACGAGTACTTGGATATCCGATTTGCAGACATGACAGTCACATAATTCACAAAAAACAATCGAATACGTAACGTAAAATCGACATGTAACGTGTAATATTTTGTCCTTATCGTATAATAATATTTTTCCTGTTCAGATGTACCTACGTAATTGTCTGGTCTGAAATTGCTGTGCGGCATTGACCGGTGGTGACAGTAAATAGTAGGTACAACCAGTGACGTAAACTGGGTGGTGCAAATGTGGCATTTGCACCACCACATCTAAAATGTGATGGTGTAAGGTATGTTTTTGCACCACCAGAATATCATTGAAATTTGTATACCTATAATAATATTTTTAAGAGCCAAAGAAACCAGCATACTAAAAAAAAATGTAGATTCATTTTTTTTATTAATATTATAATAATAAAGGTTTTACCGTTAAAATAATTCAAAATGTATATATTATTTAAAGAAATATATAGGAAAATATACGGTTTATTGGGAAGGATTTTACTTAGGAAGTTGGAAAATTGGAGTGTTGGAAATTATATGTTGAGAATATGTCTCTGCACCACCAGAAATTGGACCCAATTTACGCCACTGGGTACAACACAGCTACTTCTGGTGTAACCAAATACCACGTTGAACACGCCTATTGTACAGAGCGCATGCAACGCGCGGAGCATGCCAAAAAAAAAAAAAAAAACCATACGCATGTCGTGTGCGTGCCGAATATTTGCGCGCGCATGTCATGTGAAAACCGTGACGCTGTTCGCCGCCGCTGCCGCCGCCGCCGCCGTCGTCGCCGAGATAGCACCGCCGCCGGACGTCGATCGCGATAGGGCGGAATCGAAAAAAATAATATTAAAAAAAAAAATTCCCGTCGAACGGCGAAACGAAACCGAGACAGTTTTCTTTCGTTTCTCTCCGTCTCGCTCTACGTTTGGCGACGTTCGTCCGCGCGCCTGCGTTTATTTTTAAAACTCGGCCACCAGCAGCCGGGGCACCGTCACCGAGGTTATAGGTCACCTTGGACCGGTCATTGCGTTCGCACGCGACAGGGTGAGTATCACGTACGAGTATTTAACACGCCCATTAAAAAAACGAGGCCGTTTCCCGCCCTCGTCGGTCAATATGTATTGTTGTTCTCTTCGTCCGTACGGGTCATCCCCCTCCCACCGGTAAACCCTCCTATCACGTAACGCGTTTGCACGCGCGTGCAAATCGTCTCTGACGGTCAAGGTTGCGGCGGCACCCGCGCCCTTCCTCCGTCGCAAGAGACGATCTATCCCGGGTCGACAAAGTGATTGGTCGCTATCTCGCGTATTTTATTGATAACGTCGCCGCCGTACACACTCGCGAAATACGTGTGCTCTAGCGCGCGTCGATTCCCTCCAATTTTCCTAATACTTTTCCCCTCCCCATCGCGTTTGGTCGACATTCGAATGTTACGACTAGTCGCGCAACGAATTCGTACTTCGTTGCACGTGCGGTACCGCGAATGATTCCCTCCCTCTCGCTACCTCACGTTCATCCGACGCACCGGTCGTGCCGCGGTGTCTTTTCAGTGCGACTCTTGTAGCCCGTCGGGCTTGCCGCCGGTTAATCGATCTCTAATCGGTCAAAATAAACGTCCTAACATCGTTGTTTGTCGTTCTACGCCCGGCACTGATGTGCGTTCAACCCTTTCGCGCCCGATAATAATACATCATCATCATCACCATCATAACGACCCGACGGTAAGTACCCTACCCGTAACGTGCTCGTTGTTCACGACCTATCTTATTGTTCATTAGTCGGAGTACATTGGTTATCGTGCAATTAGTTATTCCCGATATTATAATAATTACCCACGCACCGAACTGGTCCGTACGAAAGGTTTACCATAGATAATACGCGTGTAATCGCACAACGTCCGTAATTAGTAATCACTTAAGTAATTAGCGTTTGTTTATTTAAATACTATGTACACATTATACGCGTGTTTAAATGCCAGATAATTTTTCAAACGCTCAAATTAACATAATTTTTATTTCTTTTAGGTTCTTAGGTGAATAACAATTTCGTATTACTAATACTTACCTACAAAAAAGTGCTCCATGGCATACGTTTCAGTTAATTAGTCGAAAAAATTACGGAAAAAGTTAACAAAATAATTTTTCTTTTTTCTATCTTTACCACAGTGTATATTGATTTATGTTTTATTTTAAATATTCAGTTACATAAATAATTTTAATAATGAGTATTTAAATGTGACTGCAATTTGTATTATAATTCTATCTATTTTCTCATAAATGGTTTAAAACACTTAAGACATTCATTATTACCGAGCAAACCCCTTATCAAGTATGTATGTCTGCCTATTTCTTCAAGCCATACCCTTTTGGTAATGGTGTGTTAATATTCTAAAAATTTCATTTTTATGCATCCGAGCAAAAAAAAATTTTCTTACACTTTTATTTATTAATGAAAATCTCTATACCTAAGTACAGCTACATAAAGCATAAGAGCATAACAATTTTTTTCTGATTTAGAATGTATAAGACATTGTATTAGCAATAATATAAAACAGCAGTTAATCTTAGCACATTTTGTCAAATCTCAAAATTTATTAAATGGGTATAATATTTATAGTAGTTGTTGCTACTGAATTATTATATCAGTATTTGATGTGCCTTATTTTTATCACTTCAATATAATTGTATACTTAAAATGTCATATTGCTAATAATTTATGATTGTCTTAAAGTAATTATTTTACTAAGTGTATTATGCAAGAATGTGATCATCTTTTGAGAAATATTTAAAGTATAAAAAGTAACTTATATATTCTAAAGTATTCAATAGAAAGATAAAATTAGGTAGTAAAACAAGTATTTAGCAATAAATATTTTAAGGTAACATTAATTGATCAGTTCTGATGTTTCACCAATATTGAGCATTTTATGTTTATAAAATATTTTTTTAATCAACATACATTAAAATCTTAAAAATAGTTTGAAGCAATATATTAGTACTAATTTAAAAATTAATTATTTAGTAATAAAAGCAATAATCAGTAATGACATAAAAATATTTAAATCATTAATAAGTAATAATAATAATAGTAATAAATAATAACCTACTAATTAATTGATCATTACAATTGTCTATTTTTGAGATTTTGAAATCTCATTAAATATTATATTATATTATTGTTTTTCAATTAAATATTATAAGTTTCTTATTTCTAAATATTTATTTGCTTGTATTAAATTATTTTATTTATCTATGAAAAATATCTTCTATTGTATAAATATATCAAGGTGATTTTATTAGTTTATTATTGCAATATTAAATTAATAATCCTTCCAATTATCATAACATATCTTAAAATCATTTTAAGTATATTAAAGGTTGATAATTAGCTTCTAAACTACCTACAAACAATGGAAAAATAACAAAAGTATCTATACTATATAATCAAAGAATTTAGAAAAATATTTGCTATAGTATCATTAGTTATTCAATTAATGTTCTTATTTTTACATCAACTTAAATAAAAATGCTAATTATTAGTTCCTACCTTATTTTATTTCTTATAATTACATCTTTACCTAATAAATGTATAATTTATTTAATTAATAGGATCAGTTTAATATAATATCAATAATTGACAAAAATTATGAAAAAATAATTTTTCTTTTTTACAATTCTAAACTTTGAATAAAATCAATATCATTCAATGTCACATTGATTAAAAAAAAAAAATGTATTTACTTTGTAAGGAGTTTTAAATTTAACATTTATTATAGATATACCTATAAGTATTAGTATGTTATACATTATATGTTTTGACTTTTGGCAATCTAATCTAAAGGTCTGCTAAAAAAGTATTTGGCCTAATTCCAATTAGTAAATCTGCTTCAGATTTTTAAACAACAATTTTTATTTATTTTATCTCAATATATAAACTTAAATCTTTTTTTAATAAATATAAAAATTAATTTTATAATTTATAAAATTTTTTAAGATTTACTTCAAACATAATTTATTTATCAACTAATTAACCTAATATCATCACATTGTATCCATTTTTCACTTATACTACTTACAATGTATACAAAATATGTTATAAGTTATGTATGTCTGTCTCATATTTCTCACTTGATTATGTATTTATATATATATAAATATTTATTTTATTTTTAGGTTACATTATGGCATCAAAACTTTATAATATAATTGTTGGTGGTGCATCAGTAGGTGCTGGAGCTTATTTCACTACATGGTTGTTAACCGGAGAAAATCCAAGTGTTTGTATTTTTTTTATTTTTAGTTTTATAATATTTAGTAAATTATTTAGTTTTATTCATTTGATGTAATCAATTATTATTCTATAATTCAGGAATTACAATCAGTGCAAGCAGAAGCTGGAAAAAAAACAGGTAGAAAACGTACATTACCACCAAGAAACACTCAAATTCAGTCATTAAAATCAGAAAATTTCGATGTCCTAATTATTGGTGGTGGTGCTACAGGGGCAGGTTGTGCAATTGACTCTGTAACTCGTGGTAAAATATATTTTTAACATTATATAATTTATTTATTTAATTTATAATATAATTGTTTTTGACAAATTTATGATTTTCAGGTTTAAAAACTGCACTTGTTGAGTTAGATGATTTTGCATCAGGCACATCAAGTCGTAGTACCAAACTTATTCATGGAGGTGTACGCTACTTGCAAAAAGCAATTCTTAATTTAGATTGGGAACAATATAAAATGGTAAAAGAAGCATTGCATGAACGATCATCTATGCTTAAAACTGCTCCTCATCTCACTCATGCTATACCAATCATGTTACCAGTTTATGAGTATGTTATTTTATCTTATATGAGTAATTTATGTTCACCTGTTTTTATTATTTTTTATGTTAATTTAGATGGTGGAAAGTTCCATACTACTGGGTTGGTATAAAAGCTTACGATCTTGTTGCTGGTTCAAAAACGGTTAAAAGTTCTTATTATTTATCTAAAACTGAAGCATTAGAAATATTTCCTATGCTTAAAAAAAATAAATTAGTTGGAGCTATTGTTTATCATGATGGTAATTAGAGTTTTTACTTTGTCTATTGAGGTAATAATATCCTTTTGTATATTTTAATTTTTTAGGCCAACAAGATGATGCAAGAATGTGTCTTGCTCTTGCACTAACTGCCACTCGTTATGGTGCTACAGTAGCAAATCATGTAAAAGCAATGAGTCTTCATAAAGACGCTGATGGTAAAATATGTGGTGCACACCTTCGAGACGAACTAACTGGAGAAGAATGGGATGTTAAAGCAAAATGTGTAATAAATGCTGCTGGCCCTTTTACTGATTCTGTACGCCAAATGGATGATACATCTGTCAAGGAAATATGTACACCAAGTAAAGGTGTACATATTGTATTACCTGGTTATTATAGGTAATTATTTCAAATGTTTTTGGACTTCATTTACTAAATAACTAATAAATGTTTTAATGTTATTAGCCCTGAACAAATGGGACTCTTGGATCCTGAAACATCTGATGGCCGTGTTATATTCTTTTTACCATGGCAAAAACATACATTATCAGGTACTACAGATAGCCCATGTGATGTGACATACCATCCAACACCAACAGAAGATGAAATTGGATTTATATTGAATGAAATTAAAAATTATCTCAACTCTGATGTTGAAGGTTAGTTAACAATTAACATTTATTGTGAATTTTTGTATTGTAATTCATCATATAATTTTAGTACGCCGAGGTGATGTTTTGAGTGCTTGGGCTGGCATTCGTCCATTGGTGTCAGATCCAAATAAAGGTGACACTCAATCATTAGCTCGTAATCATATTGTGCACATAAGCAAATCTAATTTAGTGACAATTGCTGGAGGAAAATGGACTACATACAGATCTATGGCCCAGGAAACTATTGATGCTGCAATTCAAGGTTAGTTTAAGTTGTTATTTTTTTTAAAAATATTGAACTAAATTATTTGTAATATAAAATTGCCTTTCAGCTATTCCAGAATTAAAACCCACAAAACCTGAATGCCAAACAGATGGTCTTCAGTTGGAAGGATCGCATGGATGGACACCAACAATGTATATTCGATTAGTACAAGATTTTGGCTTAGAATGTGAAGTAGCTCAACATTTAGCTACATCATACGGTGATAGAGCTTTTGCTGTAGCTAAATTGGCTAATCTCACTGGTAAACGTTGGCCAATCATTGGTAATAAAATTCATCCTGATTTTCCATATATTGATGCTGAGGTATTATAAATCAAATTATCTAATAATAAATTATATATTATAATAAAAATGCCTTTTTTCTTACAGATTCGTTATGGAGTTAGAGAATATGCTGTTACTGCAGTTGATATGATTGCTAGACGTTTGCGATTGGCATTCTTAAATGTACAAGCTGCTCAAGAAGCCCTTCCAACTATTGTTAACATTATGGCAGAAGAATTAAAATGGAGTCCTGAAGAAAAAGAGGTTTGATATTATAATGATTATATATAAATATATATGTATGTCCATATCTAATTGAAAAATATTTAGAAACAATTGAAAATGGCTAGTAACTTTTTGGCAACCGAAATGGGTATGAGTGTGAATAGAGCTTCTCGAGACAAAATACCAATCACTTTATCTAAGGAGGAGATCAAAATGTATGTCAACAGATTCCAAATTATCGATCTTGATCGCAAAGGATATGTTTCCATTAATGATATTCGTAGGAGTATGAAGGTATTCATTCCTAAAAATTATTTTATCATATAAAATGAAAACTATAAGTATTAATTTATGTTAGAATGCCGGTGAAGATGTCAAAGGTGAAGAACTCCATGAAATTCTAAGAGAAATTGACACCAATATGAATGGCCAAGTTGAACTTGACGAATATTTACAGGTATATTTATTTTTAATTTAAAATTTCTAAAAATGAGTAAAAAAAATTTATAATCTGTCATTATTTTTAATTAGTATAACTAAAGTGAATACATAAAATTAATACTTAATATTTTTATTACCAGATGATGTCAGCAATAAAAGCTGGTCATATTTCCCATTCTCGTTTTGCCAAAATGGCTGAATTAGAAGAAGAAGCACATAGTAAAATGAAAAGTAAAATAAGTGTTGAAAGAAGTGGAGGTGGCTTATAAATGAAAATTAAATATTCTTTTCGTATAATTAAGTAAATTAAAAAATTTTTTGTTTGTTTTTGTTTAGCATTTGCGAACAATTTGTAGATATATTATGAATGAAACCATATTTTTAATCCATCTTTTTTTTTTGTCTTGTTACAAAATGTTAAAATATGTTCAAAACGAAACCAATGCTGTTAATACCAATGTTAAAAAAAAAATACACAAAATCTTATTAAATATGATGCTTCTTAATGTGTCTTTTTTTTTAAAAAAAAATTAAAATTTCAGTTGTAGCAATAGATTCTAGAACCGCTGCAGTTACTTTTAGGATAAATTCAACACAAAAGGTAAGTTAATTTTTCGTCAAATTATTGAAACTAAGTCGAAATATATAATGTATTGAATTCATAATAATACTAAGTTAAATAAACAATGTATTAAAATATAACTAGTCATTTAATATTCATATGGTTTAATCTTTAGAGTTAAAAACAATGTCTGTAAATATACTCTTACCATTAAAAGCACAGACTGTATGTAACACTCAATTTTTTTAATTTAATTTAAAGTTATATATATATATATATATATATATATATAAATATATAATATGATTTTAAACAATAATAATAATTAAATTAACTTACAAATTACTAAGATATTGTTTTAAAGCATAGAATCTAGTCAATGGTTTGGTAAAAATTTATGCAGTTTTTCTAGAGTTGTATATGATATAAATCCCTTGTATCATTCAAAATATTGATGAGAAAAGCATTCAGACAAAATTACATTCCATTTAAAAAAAATACTTAGCTATATGATAAAACATGAAGAAGTTTCCTCCTCCACCCCCTTATTATATAGTTGATGTTGGAGAACATAATGTTAGCTGTCCTGATATACTCCCTCCATCAAACAATTCTAATTAATTCATGATGATTCACAACATTTCATTAATATAACAATTAAATAAAATAAAATAAGGAAAGATAACAGAACTAACTATTATGAAATAGTCTCTATAGATAGACTGCAGGTAATTATTAAATAACTATTAAAAGTAACTAGGTTCATCGAGAAACTGTAAATCAAATGTTAAAGCCATTTTATTCAATGTTCTCTTACGTACAATCTAATCTATTGTTACTTTTAATTCCTGTTGTATACATTTAATTGAAATATTTTTTTATGTTATGGTGCAAATGTTAGTTATTCTTTTTACATGTATTATTCTTATAATTGAAATATTTTAGGTATTATGATTTTTAATATTGTGAATTTTATAAAATGTTGTCTGTTTAGTGTCCTAATAGCAATATACTGGTTTTTTTTCACTAAATTGATAAATTATTAATTGAAATAAATCTGATTTAAAGTTCCTTGTTACTGCACTATGTAGAAATCTTAAATTATTTGGAAAATTATTTTTTTTAGAATTATGTATGAGTAAACAAATATCCTACTAGTGTTTAAAATATAAGTATATAACGATTTTATCAAATTTTATTTATAAATGTAATGTTTTATAACAAGAGATAACATAAAACTAGAAAACATAAATAAATAATACATAAAACAGGTGTATACTATTCAATTATAATCTTATCTGGTTTGGTTTAGATAATTTGCTGACTTATAATCTTCTGAAAATGTAATCTAGATTATATAAAAAAACCATAAAATCAAAATTGTACATTCATTTAGTTCATTAATTATACATTATTTAGAAACATAAATTGTTTATTCTAAATGGTTAATGACACAGGCAATTTTAGCATGCAATTTTTACTAACAGGTAATAATAAGTTTAATAATGATACCTGCTATTTTTACGCTAAGTTCATAATTAAATAAGTACTTAGTACTTAGCTATGTAAATACTAACCGTCTAATATAGATATTCAATTCCTATTTCCTATTGTTATAGAATAGGTAATATTATTAATCGTGTAGGGTCCGCTTTATAGTGTTATCAATGTATTTGTACTATCGCAAAGGTATGAAATGTGATAACGGCTTAAATAATGATAACGGCCCATCGAGATCACGCATTCATGTATCCATAACTGATAACGGGGTGATTGTGATACGGTGAACCGCCGTCACGGTGAGCACATGATCCCGAGCTTGACACATGTGAGGATCACGATTTTTTTTCGTCATCTATTGCAGTTCAAAACCGTTTGAAATGGGCATCACTAAGCAATATTTACGTTACGTGCCACTGAGCAATTTTAATATCATTTGCCATCCCGACTGTAATATAGTCTTCGTTACTTTGAACGGCATCTCCGACCGATACGTTGCTGTTGGCGCTTGTGAAAATGTTGTTGTTTGGGACTTACGCTTGGCTAAATTGGTAAGTATTTAAAACGCTTGTTAGTTTTAAGCAGTTAAAATTAAATTTTTTTGATTTTTAGGTCATGACAATCGAAGATGAAGACATGAAAAATAATACTTTGAAAAAAAATAGTGTTGTTAAATTGGCTTCGATTTCAGAAGGTAAACACATTGCTGTTGGTTATTCGGACGGTTTGGTGAATACATTTAATTTGACAACCGGTGAACTTGTGGGAACATTTCAAGGCCATCGTTCTGCTATAACTGCGTTAAATTACGACACTAATGGTCATATGCTCGCATCGGGTTCTAAAGTAAATATTTTTTCATTATAAATACCAGTTAAAGTGATCACATTATTACATAAGATATTCATTTGCATATAAAAACATTTTTATTTATTAATTTCACTCTATTATAAGATTAATTTTTCTTAAAATTATATATATATTTTTAATATAAAAATGTGTTTAATGGTCAACAGACATTAAGTAATACATATTATTTTCATGTAATAACTTGAAATTATGTGAACAAATATTTTCAGGATACTGAAGCAGTAATTTGGGATATTGTAGCAGAAAAAGGGTTACATAGATTGTCTGGCCATAAAGGAATAATCACAGAAGTTAAATTTATGAATAAATACAATATAGTATTGACATCATCAAAAGATACTTATATAAAGTTTTGGGATTTAACTACTGGTCATTGTTTTAAGACATTAGCAGGTCATATAACTGAAGTAAGATATATTATTATTATTAAATTAAATATATTATATGTATATAACACAGTATTCAATTTTTAAGAATACTTATGATAATTAACAATTCTTTTTTTTTTTTAGGTATGGACCCTATCTATTTTACGAAATGATGATTTTGTTGTGGCTGGAAGTAATGACGCAGAACTGCGTACTTGGAAAATTTCAGAAACCAAGGAAGAAGAATTAGAAATAAAAATGACAGAACTTTTGTCCTCTGAGACTATATTAGATTTTACAGTTAGTATTTATTCAATATAGATTTAATAATAAAATAATAATGTTTATTTTCCACTATTTTATGATTAAATTTTAAATTTTAAATTTTATTAAATTTATTAAATTTTTAGTCTTCAATAAAATGCGTAAAAGCTGGATCATTAATGAGAGAAGGCCCTGGCCGTGTAGTATCTTCTGCAACTGATAATACTAATCATGTTCTTTGTTGTCATGGACATGGCAAACTATTAGAGCTATTTATTTTTACTGGTGACGGTGAAGCATTAGAACGTTTACGTAATCGACAGCGTAAATTTAGAAAAAAAGCTTTAAAGTAAATTTAATATTATATTGTTAAGTAATATTTAATTAGTATTATAATTTATTTATGATTGATTATTTATATTTTTATAGGCGTGGTGAAAATGAAAATGATGAGAATTTAGCATTTTTAAATGAAAAAAGTCCAGCATTACAAGATGTAGTACGACGATTACCATCTATTTTAACAGATTTCAAAATTAAATCTGTTGACTTAGTTGTAAAGCAAACTCATGTCAAAGTAGGAAAATTTGTTAATTTTTTTAACTAATATTAAATTGAATTCAAAATCATATTATTTGTTTTTAATAGGTTGTTGTGAGTATGTCGAATAACTCTTTAGCAATGTATTCAGTATCTTTGACTGATAACAAAGTAGTTAAAGAATTACGCAAAATTTCATTACATGGTCATAGGTCCAATGTTAAAGTCTTAGCGTTTAGTTCAGATAATTTGGCTTTATTTACCGGTGGTTCAGAATCAGTAAAAATGTGGAGCAGGAAAACTCTAAATTGTATTCGAACTGTTGAAACATCAAGTCAGGTTCAATGTTTATGTGTTATTCCTGGTGACAGACATGTTTTAGCTGGACTTGAAGATGGTAATTTGTTAGTTATTGATATTGCAGCAGGATATATCATTGAATGCATTTCTGCTCATTCTAAAGATTTAAAATCTATTTACATGCTTCCAGACGAGGTAAAATAATTTTTACTTTCCTTTTTTTTGATATTCTTGTTTTAACGTTTATATAAAATATTTTTCAATGGTGGTAATGTCTAGCTTGGTTGTATTACTGGTGGAGGTGATAGCTCAGTTAAATTATGGCAATTGGAATTGGTAGTTTTACCAAATTCTGACCGAAGAGTATTATCATTATTACATTTAAAGACAATAGAATTAGATGAAAATGTTCAATGTGCCAAAGTCAGTCCAGATAACAAGTTATTAGCTGTTGCACTTTTAGATAATACTATCAAAATATTTTTCAAGGATACTTTCAAGGTATGGTATAATTGTATGTACTTTCTTTTTACTGTTATATGTATATTGAAACTTCCTGAAAAATTGATTGTCAAAAGAATAAACAATTCTAAAATTCACCATATAAATAAGATAATGGAAACAATTGCATCATCAATAAAGAAAAAATAATACAACAAAATCAATGTCACCAAGTCTTTGACTACATGTGACACAATCGTTTCTTCTATAAAATAAATAAATCCTACTTCTAAATTTTTATTTTATTTTTAAATCTTATTTTGATGATCATCAGTTATTCTATTTTCATTCATACTTCTCTACCTTCTCAAAAATAAAAGTTGGATTTCTACATGATGCTATAATAATTCCCCTTTTAATAGATCATGGTGATGATAAATCATATTATGTCATTAACAGTTCATAAAAATCCAAGCAATTCACACAAGGTCACTGACCTTGAGTTACTTTCAATAATTTAAAATGTCCTATCTTATTAATTACTATATACCATAGAATTAATTTTGATCATAAATTGTCATGGAGTTGTAACATAACTATTCATTATTTGTAATGTCGGCAGCAACTATCCATCCAAAAGATCTGAAAGAAAATGGTATTGTGACCTTATGATTAATCTCTTAAATAAGTATTAAACAAACTTTGAAGTATCAACAATAGGCTTAGTCTCCATTTCATTAAACTTATTATCATTTATGCTTATTAAACTTAGCTATAAACTAAATAATAGGTAGTATGACTTAAATAACTAAAGAAAAAATTTTAAAATTTTTATTTTTATGAATATTTGTTGATAAGTTAATATAATTATTTTATTGCTAATTAACTGATATTATAAATTATGTCAGTTAAGATAAGTTAATAAGTTCATATTTTTATTTTTTTTGAATGTTTAAAGTAACATTTTTATTTCAAATATTTTTAGCACTTCATTGATTTGTATGGACACACTCTCCCAGTGAATGATTTTGATATAAGTTATGATTCTTCACTTATTATAACTGCAAGTGCTGATAAAACTGTTAGAATTTGGGGTTTAGACTACGGAGATTGTCACAAACGATTAACAACCGATTCTTCATTGACCAGTATAAAGTTTATTCCTCAAACACATCAGTTTTTCACTTCTGATAAAAATGGAAATATTAAACATTGGGATGCTGATATTTTTGAAAGAGTTTTAACACTTCAGGTACCTACATATAACTTTTTATCCAAATAAATTTTAATTATTTGTCATAACTATTATATTTTTTGGTTTAGGGCCACAGAGGTGAATGTCGTAATTTATCTGTGAGTGGAAATGGTTATTTTGTTTTAAGTTGTGGTCAAGATAACGTCATACGATTATTTGAGAAAACTGAAGAGCCCCTTGTATTAGAAGACGAACGAGAAGAAGAAAGAACTCAAGAAGATGAAAAAGAATTAGCTACAGGAGAAGAAACTAATGTGTACGGTGGACCATCGATCTTAGCATTGCCATCAAAGAAGACCATTTCATCAGAAAAAGCTGTAATTACTACTAAAATATGATATACTAAACAATTAAATGTTTATTATTTTAATTTACACGTATGTTTTACTTTAAGGCTGAACTATTGTTGGAATGTTTAAATGTTATCAAGGAGTACAAAGATTCGCTTCATCAAAATCAGAACACAAGTGAGGATAAACCATCCTTACCAATGATAATGATGGCATTTAATGTAAAAACTGCTGATGATTATCTATTAGAAATAATAAAAAGAATTCGTTCAAGGCAAGTTTAAACTTATTAAAACTACCTTTATTTTTTAACTGTTATTATAATTATAATACAATTTAAATCTAATTTTTTTCTTTTATAATTTTCAGTGAATTGGAAGAAGTATTGTTACTAATACCCTTTTCCAGTGTCTGCTATTTTATGGAGTCATTAATTCCACTTTTAAATCATATGCACCATGAAATTGAGGCTGTAGTTAGGTCTTTAGTCTTCTTGGTCCAAACATTGCATAAACCATTATCATCTGTCAAAGACATGATGCCTATTTTAAGACAATTGCATCTACTCGCCACAAAGAAAACTAATGAATTTAGAGTATGTTCTAATTGATAACATTGTTTAGATATATTGGTAAATTTAAAATTACTAACTGAATAAATTTTATTTAGGATTTAGTGGGAGAAAATTTGCATTCACTTATGTTCATAAATAACAGCCAAGAAGAAGAAGATTTAGTATTCAATATTACACAAAATGTTCATAAGAAAAGAAAACGTCAAAAACAAAAACTATTAAAAACCACTTTGGTCAATTTCTAATTATTTTTAAAAAAGTCTTATAATTTTTTTTGTTTTTATAAATTTAATTTTAATACTTATTTTAATAATATACTTTTTTTAAAAATTAATAATTTATGCTTTATAATTATTGCTCGTTCATCTTAAACTATTAAAAGTAATGAATCATTTTTATTTTAAATTGTTTATATAAAATTATTGTTTAGATTATAAATTGATTCAAATAATCTTATAGTGAAACGATCAAATCATAGGGATGTAAAAACTAAAATTACTAAAATAATGTTTGTTAGATGTTTACTTTACTTAAGGCAGAATAGTACTAAAGTTATCATTAGGATTTAGTTTTTAACAAAATGTTGGTTATATCATTCTTTATTTTATATTAATTTTATCAATTTATATCGTTTATATTAATAACTTTATATGAAGTTATATCAATTTTTTAATATTTAAACATTTTCTTCCCAGCATTAAAATCACAGAAAGAGTCGGTGAACCATTGTAATTATGTTCTACAGCCCCCCAAATATTTCTCATAGTATTAAAAATTCTAATTTTATATTTTTTACAAAACTATCTCGACATACGTATTAACTGTATTTAATGCATGATGGTAAAATAAATAATTTAAATTTCATAAAATATTCCATCTATATATGACAGTAAAACTATTTTAACGATACATGTCATCATAAAAATTACTTTGCCAAGGAGGAAAAATTGTTTTAGATTTGAATTGTATCAATCTTCCAATTGAGGGATGATTCCTGGTAACAAAAGTTGTTTTATTGATACTTTAAATGATTATTCTTAGATTTCACTCTACAGTTTTTTTGATTGTTCTTTTTTTATAAGAAAAATTTAAAACGGATTTCAATCTTAAGAGATTAAAGATTTGCGTAAAAATATATTTATAGTTGAAGTATGATAAATAATTATTGGTTTATAATTGTACGGTTAGTATTATAAATATGATTTTCCTGCAACATATAGATATTCACGAGCCGAACTAGGAATTTTTACGCCCGGGGAAAATATTGAAATTACGCCCTATCATACGAGTAGATAAAGAATCAAATACTCTTCCCTACAATTGTTTTCTAATAATAAGCATACAATCATACTTATTGAGTTTTAAACAAATCATCATTAAAAAGTTATAAATATCAAACTAGCAGTCAATTATAAATTATATATTACAAAAATTACACCCTCTAAAATGTTACGAACGGATATGAATACCCGTCTTCCTCCCCCTAGTTCCGCCTCATCAGATATCTACCCAAGTTAAGAACGGTTGATGTATGGTCTTGATTAATATTGTACATTATTTATGCATCGTTCCGTTTCAACAATAATACGTACCTAGTAAAATGTTTGATTATTAATTTAAAGAAAAAACTAACGCAACAATCATATATAGATTTATATAATTGTGAAAACTTTTCCTAAGCATTATCTGTGCATATGATTTTCGTACAATTTTTGCGGATTAACAGTACACAATTAGTTAAACGTAGTTTTGATTTATTTCTTAATGGCGAATCACTGTGCGACGTGAAAGAATATTTTAGTAGCAGTGCGCAAATCATTTTTGGGCTACAATTGATTTTCGTAATCTCTTTCAGCCGAATCTTTTCATGCAGATGCAATGTTCGGCAACGCTATACATATTTTCACTAAGGTTTTACCCACCCACTCGACAGTAATACTTTTGATTATTCTCGCGAGGGATGCCGGATGGAGTCTGTCGGGTCAGTACGGAAATGTTCAAATGTGTATTACCTAAATTAAAACACATAATAAAATATTTTGCGGAACGGTACGGTACGGTGTCTGTCAGTTCGTGTCTAACTAGTATGAATCAAGCCTTATACTTGAAATTTGTGAGCACAAATAATTGTTCTACACATTTGTAAAAATGTAGACTTGTGGCCGCTGGGGTGCTTGAGACCGTTGGATTTTTATTTGGCCCAAGTGAGATTTTAGAAGTTCGGCGCCACTGCCAAGAACAAACGGCGGTCTAACCGAAATCACAGTTCATCGGACGGGCTCGCCGCGGCGGAAACGTTCGAACGAAAACACCACCGCGCTGCCGCACAGTCCGCAAATGAGTATTATGAACGCGCCCTGCAGCTCGTCCACGTTGAGCTTCTTGACTTTGACTCGCGTCTTTTTCTTGGGCCGCCGCATCGGCGACACGTCCCTCCTCCACTTGATGTGCAGGCCCGTCTCGTACGCGGCGATTTGCGCCCTGGACAGCACGCGCCTGTACGGGCTGCCCTTCTGCATGTACATGCCGATGTTGTAGACGATCACCACCTCGTCCACCTTGTTGACCTTCTTCTGGGCCGCATCCGAGACGAGCGTCTCGAAATGGTCCTCCGGGTCCAGTATGATGACGTCCTTGCTACGCAGCAGCCGGTCCACCGATGCCACCATGTCCGTGCACGGCGTGTAATTGGTCAGCTTAAAGTTGTTCGGGTCCATGGCATGCGCGATCGGTATGAACGTGGGCACGCAGCACACCGTCAGCCCGGACGCCCGCACGTCGTCGATAGTGCGCATGGGCTGCTCGTGTTTGGGTTTGTACAGGTAGATGAGCTGCATGGACGTGTACACGGCGCTGATGTGCAGCGCGTACACGGTCCACGACAGGAACGCCATTCTGGACGAGGCGGACGAGGGCTGCCGGCCCGCGGACACGCTGCACAGCACCGACCACGCGACGACCAGGCAATGGCCGGTGTCGGTGAACGCGCGACGCTCGCGGGGCAGGAGCGCGCCGGCCAGCCGGAGCACTGCGGACGTGAGCAGAAACACGGCGAGCACGGTCAGCCAGAACCGGCCGGAGAACACGTGCAGCATGTTCCGCCAGTACGGTAGCCTTCGCGGCAACGGCGTGTAGATCTGGATCCGGATCACCTGCCGCGGCGGCACTGAGTCGAACATCTCGATGCGCCCGGGTGTCAGGATTGAGCCGCCGATCAGCACGTCCGCTTGATGTGCGCTCAGCATGCCGAATCCGCCGTTCCACGTGCCGTTCGGCCACTTGATGCCCCACCGCTGTTTGCCACCCACCTCGTGCACCTCCAGCCGCAAGTTGCCTAACCGGCTCATCAGCTGCACCACGCCCACGTCCATGCCGTGCAACATCGTCCGGCCCGACGGCGACAGCACGGTCATCGGCGGCCAGTTGAACGCGGCCACCCTTACCGTGCAATTGCGGAACACGTGCGGCACGCGGTCGGCGAACAGATCGACCGTGGTATCATCCGCGGCGCACGCGTCCACTTTCTTGGGCGTGTGGTACT